GCTTCAAAAGAAGGGTGTTGTGCTAAGCACATGCTTCCCATAAGGCTGTAGTAAGTCATGGCCAGCCGTGGTATGATGGTGCCCAGGTATACAGCCTTAGCGGTGAGGAATTAAGGAAGCAGTACATTAACAGCAGCATTATATGCTGCTGGCCAAGATGGCTCAGCCCTAGTCATATATGTTCCCATCTACTTTCTCAGCTCCGGTCACGAGTAACTGAATATTTTTGTTCTTTTTTGGAGGTGCTGGAAAACACAAAAGTGGATGCAATGCAGCTAACCATTATTTCTGCAGAACCTCCATTGCCTAGCTTTTTATCATCTTCTAACTAGTCATGCCTTTATTTTAGCAGGAAAGCATAAGGAAAAAACAGCATGGAGAAAATACCAATTCAATAGAAATCAATCATTTGCACTGATGTGCTAACAGTTAACTCTGCTGCTGCTGCTCTAATTAAGGCCCACATAGTCCTGTAACGTTACGAGTTATGTGAGCCATAGTCGTCCCAATCAGGCAGCGCAGAGACCTGCTCCTCCAGTAGGTCAGAACAGTGAAGGGCTCTTCTGCACCCATCCTCCCTCTAAGCAGCAAAAATACACAAAGATGCAGCTGCCCGCTGTGATAAGCCTGAGCTCTCAATGGGGCCAAAGATCAGCTCTCTTCTATAACAGCTTTTCCAAGACAGGCACTACTTCAACAGACAGCCCCTTCCCGTTGAAGGGAACGCTGAAAGTCTGCACTGATATCTCTTTCTGAAAGCTGTCATGCTACACAGATAATATTCGGCCAATTTCATTTTGACTCCACTTGAACAAGGACTACAATGGGTGAAATAATTTGAGAGAACAAAAATAAGGTGATACAAATTGCACAGCAAACACCACAAAGAATTAAGTGTTTATCAAATAGATCTTCAGGTCTTCCTGAACAAATATACAGAGTCTGTTACTGTCAGGACGGTTTGTAAAGGCAATGATTTGAAAATTTTTAATATAGAAATTATTTAAAGCACTATAATAACTTGAGGAGTGTTCAAAACTCCTCCAGTGTCACTGGTCAGTACCCTCTTTTATGTGACTGCTATTGCCATTACTGCAGAAATCTAAAAAAAAATTTAGTCCAGAGTGAAACAAAAACAAGACTTACACTGCCTTTATATTTGTACACAAGTTTTTAGGGGGAAGTGTAGGAGTTGTTTGTCTTTCAAAAACAACTTCTCCGAGGTAGTTAAAAATAAAAGTTCATTTCCAAGTAATGAGTTGAGCTTTCTAAGTTTAGACTATGTGAACAGAACATGTTAACTTCCCCAAACAGGATGCATTTGTTACAGCAAGTATCAGGTTCTGTGCCGTGGGGAAATATCAGTTTTTAGTTCCAAAATCCTAGAGCACTTCTGATGAATGTGCTATTCAGACACTGCTTCATTTCAACCTGGAGAGCAGAGCACAGGATTCTAGCACTTATTTCCGACAGGGACTTCTCAAAACAGTTCTACTGATCATACTAGATTACAAAAAGTTGTGTATTTACTGTGAAAACTGGCATGGATTACGCAAAGGAAAGCTTCACTACAACAACTGGTAGCAGAGCTATGGTTATCATTTGCAGTATCACATGGTACTTATATATGGATAATAACTGATTTCTGTAAGCAATTTATGTGATCTGTTTGTAAGATTCTTACAGCAGTAGACACAAACAGGCATGTTTTCAAGTCATTCTTTAGTTCACATCTGTTTATAAGTTATGCATTTCCTTCCCTTCTCTGCGCCCAGATGTTTCCTCAGGCTTTCTCATGCCTTTGGGTAGCATTGAAAGGAACCCTCTTTTGTGGAAGAAGTGGATATCAGCTCTACAGAATACATATGTGCATCAGACCCTGTGCCACCAAACAATCAATACAATTTTGTTAGATGTGTAGTGGATGTTAAGTGTCTTCAGTACAACTCACTGGTTGAATTAGGACTACAGATCAAAAACAGTAACATTACATTGGCTGTTTCTGTACCATATAAGAGGTTTAATGCTGTAATAGATGGCCATGTTTGTTTTGCTCCACCCACGATTTTCAAAGCACTAATACTGACATAGCCTGCCTATAGGTAAACAAATGACAGCACTGCATTAATGAAGGCTGAATACAGCAGCTGTACTTAACCTCTCAGGGTGCACAAGAAAGTGGCACAGTCTCATCCCATCTGCCTCTGGAGCCAATTCAAGCAGGAGATGACCCAGGCCAATCAGAAGCTTGAACCCTTGTCAGGTCTATGCCGGCCCAAAGTAATTACACGCTACAGGTATGTTACCAAAATAAGTTACATTACACTCACAGAAGGCATTGAGTTCATCTTGTACACAGTGTCCTGACAGACTGCACCTCAGCATTTTTTCCTACACATTTCCTCCTTTTCAGAAGCTATAAGAATATGCACTATTCCAAAAAGCCTGAGTGTTCTTTTTAATTTCTTTTAAATACTTTTAAAGTATTTTAAAGCATATGTAATTATGTACTTTTAAGTATATGTCTCTAAGTAATTTTGAAGTGTTTTGAAGTATATGTTCCTAGTCTTTATTTGCTAGCACTTAATGAAAGGCGTTACATAGAAATAAGTTGTTAGAGCAAATTCTGAAAGATTTACAACATTCATCAAGGTACATGCATTTAGTCTTAAAGAAGCAAAATAAACTCTTGAGTACATCTTCCCATCCTCGTTTCCTTCTGTTTCAACAGATACATGAAGGTACTTTGACACTGGAAATACTGGACCCATTAACCTCTGTAATCACAGATAAAGCCAACAATAACCCTGCAGACATAAATCACCCTAAGTTCAGTATGACAAAGAATATTCATCTGTTTCTTTCAGTGTATTTAAAAGGTTTCTGCACTTCCCTGAAGTGGAAAAAAAAAATAATCAACTTCAGTTTTTCAAGACCAAGACTAAGAACAAGAACAACACAGATGAAGCTTAATGCTTACAGATTGCAGCTTCTTTTATATTGCTATTGGCATCACTGATTCCCTTTTGTATTTCATCCAGCCACAGAACTGCTGATTCATCTTGGGTTTCCTGGAAAAGGGATAGAGAAACGCCTTACAAAAATGAATTAAAAACAGTATTTGAGCATACTGATAGAGCTAACACAAACTCCTTTCACAAAGCCCTCGACCACTATTGGACTGCTTAAAATGAACAGTAAAACAAGTTCGTATTCTATTTGCTGAGTAGATTAAACTGTTGCTCAAACAAAAGTTCTCGAAGTTTTCACACATAGAAGACTCCATCCTGCTAGATGAATAGAAATTTTAAGTAGAGCTGGAAATGTCTCAATTTCCATAACACATAAGCAAAGTAATCGAAACATTAAATAAATGCAAATGTCAGCCTGCCCTGTGATAGTAGCATCGGTAGCACATAGGAAGTTAGTTTTCATTCCAAATCCCTTGTTTGAGAAGAGTGTGTGAATAAGGGCTACGTAACAAAATACTGGCAAAAGCTGGCATAAAAAGCCAGCTCAGGTTTAGCAGTGATAACTAAGCTTGGGTGGCAAAGGTTGCAGGAGCTGAGCGGTAGAGCAGGTCTCACTTTCTACAGGCTGACCCTGCATGATGACTTCATACCCAAAATAAAAGAGAGGGTGCCTCTTACAAGGTAATCCTTATCCCTATACTTCCAGCCTATGGCTACAATGGGCAATATTACACCTGGAAGAATGCAGGCATTAACAACTTAAACAACCACAGGTAGAAGTTTGCAACAAAAACTGCCAGCACAAGGGATGCACAGGCAGGACCCCATGAAACTCTGGGCTGCACCAGATTCTGCCCATAGAAGCAGTAAGTGTGAGAGATTTATAAGAGACTGATGATGACTGAAACAGCAACATACTGGTTCAATCAAAATCTGGGAATACATATATATATATACACATACATAAATATAATGGAAAATAAAAACCAGAAAGAGATACAAAGTCAAACACTCCTGGGCAGGCAAAGAACCATCTTCACAGTGGATATTATTGTCATAGGGACCAACTCCATGTAAAAAATCTGATAAATATATTATTCATAGAAATTGCAAAAAAAATTGGGTAAAAAATGGCACAAAAACACCTCTGTTTCCATCATCTGTGTAAACACATACTAGAATATCTAAATAAAGTCAAGTGGCATCAGGCAATTGCATGACAATGAATGCATGCAAGTGTAGTAGAAAGCTAGAATTAATCCTTGAGTGTGCATTTACTGAATTCCCACACCATGACTGAATTTATAGCAAAGAATTGCGAAACTGAGAAGAATTTCTTATCTGGTGTTCAGTTTCAGCGCATTAAGTACAAAAACAGATACAAATTTTGTTCTGGAGCCAAGATCTGTTTATGCTAAGCCTTGCCACTAGCTTAGAAGCTAGACCAGAACTCACAATAATTTTGTCTGCTGGAAGCAAGCCACTGCTTCTTGGCTTAGGTGGAGGTGGTGGGAGGAGAATATGGAAGTAAATTTAAGAAAAAACAACAGAAAACACCCACACAGGCAGAGGAACAGGAAGAGATCAACAAAACAGTAAAATTTTGAGAGGCTGCAAAAGGGGGGTAAGTGGCCTGCCAGAGCAGGCAGCTGGGCTGGGATGCAGTCACAGCTGGCTGTTAGGTGGATGCAGAGAAACTGAAGCATAGCAATGTTGTCTTAAGGCATATGTGTATCCCTGTGGTTTACTTTCATCTCTGCATTTTCTAAACCAAGATCACCACACTCTTCCCCACTTCTGGCCTCTCCCCAAGAAGCGTATAGAGTTCAGCAGTACAGAATTTCTGGTCTGTGGGTGTGACCTCTGAGTGTTTAGCAAACGGTTTTCCAGAAGATACCTTTTTCCCCAAATACCTGTACATAGAAATTCCATCTGATCCTCCCCTTTTCCCTTTACTGCCATCATCTTCAGGACTGTGGTAAATTAGGAGTTAAACTGCTGCTGTAAAGCAATTTAATCTCTGTGTTGGGCAGAGGCTGAAACTGAGTCATGTGTGCATATTTGGATACGTCACACCCTCTTGCTGTAGTAGACAAAGAACAAACTAGCTCCTTGCCATAAATCTCATGCCTACAGGATGCTTCGGGAGAACAGATCAATTGTGCCTTAGTGCCTTACAGACGGAAGAAAATCCCCTCCCAACACCACTGAGATGAACTAAAACTGTGTTGCCTTTCTTTTTGGTATCTGGATTTAGCAAACTACAATGAAGATTCTGGTTTTCACTGGACTGCTCTCTCTAACATCAACTTTTACGACAGGTCAGTTCTACTTTCTGTATAAACTTTCAATTTTAGATGATAACATTTGCTTTTTGATAACCCTGGTGCTTTACTGGCTTAAATGGGCTGTGCACAATCCGTTGCATTTTGCTATACTCCAGCAAGTTTCACTTTAGGCAGAATTTCATTCCATTTCAGTTATACCTTGGACTACTTTTCTCTTTCCCCAGTCACTTTCAGTAAAGGGTTTTTACCTACGGAATCATTCTTTCCTTTCTGAAAACACATCATATTTATGTAGTGAGATGATACACTTCAACCTGTACAGTCACGTTCCTTCCGCTTTGAAATGTTCAACAGAACTGCAACCTCAGACTGCGTTATTAGAAGGAAATTTTCTGAGAACTGCTGTTACAAAAATCACTGAAATGACTGAACAGTAAGCCTACTTGTTTTTTAATTAATTAAAATGATAGCTGCTTTCAAATGAAGCCATTTTTGAAACTACTTTTTGTATGAAACAGATACGCATACTTGCACCTATCTTTTAAATAGCGGCTAAAATTATTTTTTTATTTATCACCCAGAAAATTACTAAAAGAGGTAAGGGCACACTAATCATGATTTCTAAATGTTCTACCAAAAACTTGCCAGATTCACGGCACTGAGCCTGAATAAAGCTATTTTCCATATTTTGTTTCAATCTGGAAGCACCCACAGGTTTTCATCCAAATTTCAACTTGCTTCTGAATTCCAGTTTCAAGATCCACACTCTGTGCCTTGCATGAAGTCTTTTGGCATCAAACACAGCCAAGACTTTTTTTTTAATGCAAAAATTCTTTTTGCAGCTGTTCATTCTGCAACAATTATTCTGCAAAATACTTTCGGACCATGTGTGGAACACATTCATACTTCAGTAAGAAATGTAGATGCCTTTACAAAGCTCTCTACTAAGCGTTGAGGAATAGGCATCAGTAGGAGTAACCAGCATCACTGGCTTTGCTCCCAAGTCAGTGATATTTACTGATTCAAAAAATATTCCTGGTGCATGAAAAATTTTATTCACCTTCCAATGAGTTTGATATAACATCAGTCTAAACATTTGCATTCAGCTTTCAGGACCATAATTCCTCATGTACAAGGTGCTGAAAGGTCTTAGTTTGTGTTAGACAAAATCCAATACAGCAATGTAACTTTAATTTGGCTTCATTTGGTACACAAGACCAAAATTATTTTTAGAATTATTTTCAAGTTTGAAAATTTGAAATTTCCAGCCTGTGCTAGGCAAGGCATTGCTCTTTCCATCTTCTTCAGTCATGTATTTCATTCACTAAGTGACAAGGATAGCACTGCTGTTTGCTTGGATATTCTTACCAAGTCTAGATCAAAGTTGCTTATTATGTAACAAATTACCAACACTGCTAACACCTTGCAAAAAAACCCTACAAGGCAAGCTTTAAACTAGTGTTGGACAATTTTGATAAAGATGACAGAAAGCATCTCATAAGCAGGAAAAATCAGTTTAGCATTACATTCACACTATGTTTTCAAGGTTGGGTTCAAAATTACAAGTAAACAAAGATTGCTCCTGAGCACAGTTGAACAACCAAGCAATGGGGAGCACCACCAAACCTTCTAAACACAAGTCCTTTTTCAGATGGAGAAGTTTACCTTTCTCCTTACTTGAAGGTGAATTGTATTCCCAATCCAGCAGTTCACCTATTCTAACAGGTTTTTTTTTGGTTTTTTTTTTTTTTTGAGCTTTAGAGTCTTCACTGAATGATTCTGCAATTAAAACTGTGTCTCTTATCAAGACTTTCCGTGGAATTTTACCAAGAGACTATGATTACATCCCACCTCATGCTATAGAAGGGGAGACAAAGACAATCCATATCAAGGAAAACAAAAGTTCTGTGAAGAAATATAATGACTCCACTTTAACAGAAGTGAACAACACCACATTGGAATACCTGACTAGTTCTCTGAGCACCAAGTTAATACCCACTGTCTACCTCAGTGCTGTTTTACTGGGTGTACCATCTAATGCCATCATTTTGTGGATGCTGCTCTTCAGAATCAGGTCTGTGTGCACTGCCATCCTCTACACAAACTTGGCTGTTTCAGATTTGCTCTTCTGCATCATGCTGCCATTCAAAATAGCATACCATATCAACAAGAACAACTGGATTTTTGGAGAAATTATGTGTCGAACTACAACTGTGGTATTTTATGGCAATATGTACTGCTCCATTCTGCTGCTCACGTGCATTAGCGTCAGTCGCTATGTGGCCATCGTTCACCCTTTCACCTACAAGAGCCTGCCAAAACGCACCTATGCCATTGCTGTCTGTGCCACTGTGTGGACCATCGTCTTTTTGTACATGCTTCCACTCTGCATAATGCAGCAAACCTATTACGTGAAACAACTGGGCATTTACACCTGCCATGATGTGCACAGTGCCTGCAAAACTGTATCTTCCTTCCAGTTCTACTACTATGTTTCTCTAGCTATCTTTGGATTCTTAATGCCTCTTGCAATCATCATTTTCTGCTATGTTTCGATTATTCGAACACTCAAGACTCACGAGTGGTTCTGGTATGTGAAAGTCAGTCTTTTGATTCTTACCATCTTTGCTATTTGCTTTGTACCAAGCAATATTATTCTTATTATCCATCATATCAACTATTACTACTACAACACAGATAATTTGTATTCTTTTTATCTGATAGCTTTATGCCTCAGCAGCTTAAACAGCTGTCTTGATCCTTTCCTTTATTTTCTAATGTCAAAAATACGAAGTCAATCCAATATATACCTAACAATGGTTAAAATAACCAGGGAAATGTGAATTTTATTCTATATTTATATTATTGGAATTATGATTTTGTATAGTACTAACCCAGGTAGCAATAAACCTCAGATTTGACAATTAAATCTAAAAAAAAAAAATAAAAATAAAAATTCTAAGGTTGTTAAATCATGGCCTCAGTGAAATTTACTTCTTCCAAACCCCACACAAGAGGCATCATCAAACATACTTCTCTGTTTTGTTCTGTGTGCTACAAAGTCAGGTGAACCTACCTAGATTGAGGGAAGCAGCTGAGAACTTCCTTCTGAGAAGATCAACCATATGGTCACACTATAATATCAGTGACCACAGAACAAGAGAGGAATCCATCCAGCACTTTTAAGGCCCATTCTTGACTTGAAACACTTTATATGTTCTTTGTGCCCACAATCACTGCAGGACTAATGAGAATGTGAGGTTCTGATACATTGGGAATAGGAACAAGTGAAAGCTCTAGCTGTTCCTGAGCTACAACGCATTATGGCACACAACTACGAGCAGATTCTGCCCTAGGTATTAGAAATAAAGAGTTGCAGTCCCAGTAGTTTGGTAGTGCAGCAAAATCTACAGCCTTAAAAACAGAACTTGACATGCTTCCAAGAAAGTGTCTCTTCTGAGGCTGCTTAACCAGCTTTGCTCTGGAGACTTGTTCTTCCACTATGTCAGCACCCATGCTCCTACAACCCTCAAGGACTACTGAAAGCTAAACCTTATCACTGTGAATCCAGGCATGCTTCATTCTTGCTTGGTAAGCAAAAAAGGAAAACTATTTTGACGTATCCTCTATATTTCCACATCCTCACAGGAAATGATTAGTGTAACAAGAACTGAAGCAAGTTTTGATTAATTGCCCATGCTAGTAAAGTAAATGGTTATCTTTACATTTATGGAAGCTCAAGATCTACAAATGCAGAATATAAAATCCTACAAAATAAGCTCAGTGATTGGTTGACACCTGTAACTAACTGTGTAAAACAAATAAAAAGTACTTGATGATAGTGTTGTCAGAAACTTAAAAATGAAGTCATTCGCAGTGGAAAATGGGAAGTGCCTTCAAGAAATCTGGTGAGGCTCTACCTGTTCATTTTCTCCTGATTCCTAATTTATTTTAAATAGTGTAATTTCTTCCACAAGCACATCATTTAACTATAACTGTTAAGTAATCCAGATATAGCCACTTATTGCAAACAACAAAAATGCCAGCTTTATTGTAAAGCCCATGTGTTTGTCACACAAAATTACACAACACAGGAAGCATATCAAAGTATGGCACATAGCTGTTTAACATTTCAGGTATTCAGAAGACACTTCCTAAACACAGGGTTTCTCTTCAATGAGACTTGAACACACTTGGTTTGAAATGGTTGTGAGAACTGTTAGAAGCAACTGTATAAAGTTACAGGAATAAATGAATTGCATATTTGTACTTGCAAGCAATGAGGAAGCAATGAGTAGGTGTCATCTAGCTTTCATAGGAACTAGATTCTACATAGCTGAGGCCACTTCAGCCAGAGGGACGTCATAACAGCATGGTTAGAACAAGCCAGCAGTTTCAATCCATTTGTTTTCCAGGCACTGAGGAATCCAGGAAGTTCAGAGTCAAACCTATCTAACTGTTGTAAATCAAGTACTCTCTTATGCCACAACTCATTCTTAAAACATGTTAAATACAGCTAAAGATCAATCTGCATTATAAACAGGGATCAAAAAAGTAAAAGGTTGATAAAGACTAGAGTTTATTGCACAGTCTTTTCAATTCTGTTTTTAGGAGAAGTTCAATCTAAATCATATATTAAGGAAGGTGATATCCATATTCTTATTCAGCAGCTAGAGTAGTAACTCAAATTAATGCATTTGAATATTTATTTTGGGAACATATACAATACAGCGTCTTGCTTTCTCCCTAAGCAGAGTTGTTTGGTTTTTTAATTAATCATTACATAAAAACAGATGTTTTAAGTACTTGTCAAAGGACTACAAATGAAACAGCCAGCACACAGCAAGGGTGGAGACTTTTCAGCATCCAGTAATTAGTGAAACCTGACGTTATGGGAGAACACAAGACTGAGATTTGCAACACCCAGTCCAAAAGCTCTGCCAGCGGATGACAGAAGCACACGTTTTTCATAGCAGGTACTGCAGGTGAGGTGGCAAAATAGCTGGGAGGTGTTTCTACAAGCCATTGTGCAGGGACTTTTTCCAGCTGACATTAAGAATGCATCATGTGAATTTTAGACATCTTGAAACTGTGAGAATATTATAATATGCTGGACTACGAGCTTGAGCTAATCTTCCCTTCAGTCAAATCCTTCAAGCTGTTAGGCTGATCTGTGTTTACACTTCCCTAAACTGTGATGTTAACCAGGGCACTGCTTTTGAGGAAGCCAGTACAAGCATCCTGCTGAGATTGGCTGAAGCTGAAGGCATGTACAAGATGGGAAGTGTGTTTTTGCATGACAAGGGCAGAACAGAAGCACCACTACTACAGACCCTCAGATTTCAGCAACTGAGGCTTCTCAGCATAAGATCTCCCAGAAGTAGTACTCTCCTCAGCATGACTGAATACTTTCTAGCAGAAGCCTCAATTCCCACCTATAACTACCTGCCTAATTATCACTAGTAACTAGATCCTTACACAAACATCTAACAGATACAGAATGTATCTTACTGTTAATTAATTAATAATTAATCTTCTGTGATGGTCAGAATAAGTTGTAGTAGAAAACCATACAGTGTTTTTTTCTTGTTTCCAGCTTATATTATTCCTACAACTAATCCAAAGACTGCATGAACAGAACAAGAGCACATGCAAATAAAAAGAATTGTCATTTCAGATCTGACAAGAGGCAACAGCACTAACCTTGCGTTTCTGTGTTTTGGCGTGGTGCAGAACATCCTGATAATGCTTTGCATTTTCTGGTCTCACATCCTGCAGCTTGGCTGTAGGCATCAGTAGAGCTTCTAGAGTTTTTTCAGCATTTCCTTGGTCAATTGCTTCATTAATGTGGTCAATTGCAATAATTCCTATGAAACACAAATTTTATTACAAGTGTAGCTGTCAAAGAGATACAGCCTATCACACAACAGATACAAACAAAGCAGTAACACACAGAAAAGAAAAATCAAGTAACAAGAAGCAGAGACAGCAAGAGCAACTAACTTAAAATTATTTTCTTCAGACATCTGTGAAGATATTCACTTTCGCAGGGTTCCTTTCTGCCACACCTATTAATTCCATTGAACCTGTCTCTCCACAGAAAATTTTACCCTCATAAAAACAAAAAAAAAAAAAAAAAAAAAGGAATATTTACTTTACCAACAGATCACAAAGGGTTTTGAGAAGCTTAAAAAAATACTGGACACCGTATCTATGTGTGCATCAACATATTGGCTGGCTGTGCTGAAAGACTCCAGACTTGTTGAGTGGTTGGGAATTAGACTTCTTGAAACCCTAATTTCAGAGGTTACACACATGCTGACCTACAAGTTACAACATTATGTTGAACCTTAACCTAATTTCTTTAAACTTCATCTCCTCTAATCAAACTGGCAATGCTGATCTTATGAGATCAGCTTGATTCTGTTCAGACCTGTGGACACTGAGGACTACAGCCACATCACACGATGTGCTTAATAAAACCTATGACTCATTTTCCTCAGTTGTCAAGACTGTTCTCATTTAAAGTGACGATGTATTCCCTCTCCAAAACAGTGTGGAAATGCATTGCTTGGGGAGATTTCACCCTGAAGTCAAGCTGCCCCACAAGGGCACTGGCCAAGGGCTTCTCAGGTTCTGTGAGAGACGACACCCTCCACTGGTAGCTGATAATCTTTCACCATGTTGCTGCCACGCCATCCACAGCTGGTGGGTACAAGATCTATGCTCTCATGAGGGCTAAGGCAGGAATGGGCAGCCACACAGGCTTGCTTATGGAAATCAATGCCAGCCTTTTTCCTGCATTCTCTGCCCTATTAATGATTTTTGGGCAGAATCCTGTACTACTGAAACTACAAGCAAAGCTTTTTCTTCAGTAGAGACTGACTGCTAAAGAAGAAACATCTATTTCAAGGCCTTTTTCACCTATTCATGACTCCATTGAAGCAGAGAGTTACAAAAAGTAATTTTGCCCGCTGAAAAAAATATGCTTATATCCTATCCCGGTATGGGATATCAGTATCAAAGGGTGGTAGGCTGGGTAGGCATCAAAAGAGCCAAGAGGCCTGCATCTCCCTGTTCAGAAGCAACATACAGCCAGTTTTCGTATTTCCATAAGGTAAGACTCTTCTCTTACCACTGCTAAACAAAGCAGGGTGCACTGTGCTGATAGCATTAAGGAGAGGGTAGCTAATAGCCTCAAACTTCATGGAAAATGCATCTATATCCATCAGAGACTTCAGTCTGTTAGCACTTTTGAAGCCCAAATGACCACATTTAATTTAACATCAAAATTTAGGGCCACACTTAAATGAAAGAAATACTCTCCAAAACCATTTATGTTAGAATTTACACAATAAACTTTTCTTTCAGATAGGAAATCAAATTATGTGAAAGGAGAGCAGGACAGACTGTTTTACTTCTGCAGTTCCTACAAACTCTGGTTAAAAACAGGGGCTTGGAAATCACTTAACGAAGCACTGTTTAACATAGTGTGTTATCTATTTTCTGACCCTATCCTCCAATACACTCTTGACTTACAATTTCTGTAAAATCCCTGCAGTGATATCATCCAGTTCAAATATTGGACTATACTGACAAGTATTCTGAACCACAGTATTTGTAATGCTGCAGATGGTAGGCATGCTAGGATACATTTGAACCAGGCATAACACAACCAGGAATACTTTAAGTGGATTTAAAGATCAACAGCCATTCAAAAATAACAGCTTTCTCTATTGATCAGAGTCTGTGCAAGGCCATTTAGCACAGAAATGTGTGCCCTGGCAACCAAACTATCATCTCTGCCACCAATGTACAGGAAGAATTACTTACTTTCATTTTCTTCTTGAATTTGCATATTAACCATGTCAATGCAGTTCTGGATATCATTCCAGCTTAAATAATCTTGGCCTTGAGATGAAGCCTCTGACTTAATAGACAATAGTGTATCAGCATAACTATAAGAAGATATAAAATACATAAGTGTATTTCATACACAAGGTAAATTGCCATTAAGAATTAGTCAGATATATCATCCATAATTTATTGACTTTTTCAATGAATGATTATCAGACCAATTCATCTCCTGCCAGAAATTATACAAACATGCAAGCTGCTTTTTTGGTCACACATGTATTTTGGGGTGTGAAAAACTGACCCTACATGCTAATCCAAAGCCTTCTTGGCAGAATGATGATGATATCATTTCGGGAAGTGGCTGCCTTTCCCCCAGATACTATCTTAAGCAGGAGATATCAGTACTTTCAGGGACCGCCACAGTCCACTACGATTTTATGTTGTCAATTGTATTTACCTCCCAGAAAATTTGAAATTTTCTAGTGACCTCAGGAGAAAAAAAAT